TTTAAAAAGGTCAGGTGCTGTAAGTGCGGACAAAATCACAGATCCAATACCTGTAAATTAAAACCAGATGAAAAACCAACTTGCATTTACTGTCACGAAAATCACGTTTCTTCTTATCGTGGTTGTAAGGTATACAGAAAAAGATTCAATCATTTAGAGAAGCTAGAAAAACCACAAGAAATTCCTACTAAAGATTACTTCCCCGAATTCATTCAAGCTTCAGGCCAAACTAATCAAGAAATGCCTAAAAACCTTTATAGTGACAAAGTTAAGCAGAAAAACCCGCAGGAAAATTTAGCAGAAAATCATTAACATTTTCAAAGATCAGAAAACCCTTTATCTCATGAAATCAATAACCACAATACCTCAGAGAATTAAATCAGCTAAATCAAATATGCGAAAACTTTGTCTAGCTTTTCAAGCGATCGAGATGATTTTGAACTTTACAGATCAAGATTAATTTGCAGCTTCTTTCAAGACAAGCATAACAGAGCGGCAGAAATCCTCAAGCTGCAGATCCTCACATCGTGAAGCCACGTTTACTTCTCTACTAGAGACTCTGCACGAGGTGCAAAAATTACGTTCTATCTTACTGGATTCAACTCATCATTAAAGACACACTACTTATAATATATTGGTAAAGGCCACACTAGGCCGATTGCCTCTTAATTGTGTTTTTACTGTAGCGAATTCGCAGTGAAATCGGATAAGCTTTCTGTTTTGAATTAAGTTCTGTTGAGTGTTTGAGTAGTTTAAAAGATAACTACTGTGAGATACTGCGATATTATACGCGTATCTGTGAAAATTTAAGCATTTTTTTTATTTGTTGTAATAATAATAAATTTTATTCAATTTTCATCGGACTTGTGCATTCACTTTACTATGAACCCGTACGCACGCAACAATATTATTAATATTCATTATAAGTGTTTTAATATCGGTTATAAATGTTTCAAAAATATATTATAATTACTTCATGTATTAAAATTGTTTTGAACATGTTTTACGAAACAGAAAAGTGTAAAGGAAAATTGTACTTGCATTTTATAATTTTTCTGCAATATTTCTGGCGAGATAAGGTTTTAAATAAATGATTGTAATTTACGTTTATATTAAGCAATTAAATGGTACTAGATTTATTTTATATGTATATATGTGATGTACCTGCTTTTGTCCGGAATAAATAGATTGGTGAAGAATCATAGACGTAGTCCAAGCTCAAAGTATCAGACGATAAGTTTAAAAAACAAGATCCATTTATTATTATTCAGGAGAAATAGCAGTTACAAAAATCAGATCTCCGAAGTAAATAAAAAAGAACTACTAATAACTTTTTGTATGAAGTTTACTGCATCGTTACATTAAAGAAAAGACCCCGATATTCCTTTGCGAGTCCTTTTATAGCCTCTGGAAAGGCGGAGCTTCCAAGAAATGACGTCAGCCATTCCAGTTCGCTTTAAATATCTCCAGAACAGTCTATAACTGTACGTGTAGAAAAGGCGGGAAAAACAACTTGACTACGGGGCCGTGGATTTAATTCCACGTACTTTCAAATAAGAGACCGTCGCCATTAAAAATGAAAAGAACATACAGTTAGATTTTAAGTGTATTTTTGACTATGGTATTTTATTATTACATATATGTATTGAAGTACAGTAATAAAATTTTTCAAAAAATTTGAAATGATTTAATGACCATTTAGAGAGTTTACATTCTTTAAACTGCGTTTTCTCTGTTTGTATTTTTTTCGATAAATACTTTTACTTAAAGTCCTAAGACTTGTAGAGATATGACTGAATTATTTAATATTTTTACTGCTTGTTGAGAATTATATACTATTTAATAGAAACAAGGGTAGGTTTTAGAAAATACTGAAAAGCAAAATTATTGGAAGTGAAAATGTGATTGAGATCATATTTTTTTTAAAGTTTTTACGTAAAAATGTCTTTTAGTTTTTTCCCACAAACTAATATATTAATTGCAAAATCGATCCTTTACGTAACTGAAGAAACGTAAGAAAACTGTAATAAACACAATAAAAAATTTTAAGGAAAAACATTGGAAATTGTAGAAGAAAGGCATTTTAACTGTTAGGTTTTTTTTTTTTTTTTTTTTTTTTTTTTTTTCCTTAAAAAATTTTAATTAAAAAAATTACTGGCAAAAACGTTTTTCAGCATAAAATCATTCACAAAACACGGTATTTTCTGAGAACCTATTTAAAGTGTTAAAAGAGGGTTTGTTGTGGCTTTAACTTATACAAGAAATTTTAAATAGTGGTTAATATCGTTTTCTTTGTTTTTGGAATGGCAACGAAAAGATTGTTCATTTTTTTTTTGTTCTAAAGAGTTGTTCATGTTTGCTTTAATAAAGATTATTTTCGAATTAAACAATGTGAAAAGTTTTAATATTAAAAGTCAAAATAGTTTACCTGTTTTAAATTAAAAACTTCATTTTAATTAAATTAAAATTGGAATATTATTTTAATTCTTTTTAAAAAACTTCATGATATTTACTACAGTGTCTCAAAAAAGTGATGGGACACTTGTGCTTTACAAAAGGAAACTGCAAATAAAATAAATTAAAAAACATGTAAAAATTTTTTGTGGGTGTGTTTTCATACTTAAATTTAGTAACAATTATTACATAACATACATTTTCTCAAAATATTAAAATATAATTTAATAAAAAATACAATTGTTTAGAACGGAGCAGAAAATGGCTCACTTAAGTGATGGGACACTACCACTATGCAACAAAAATCGTCTGAAGTAAGCAATAAAAATATCTTTTGGGGTATTTATTTTTACTCAAAAGCAATTGCCAATAATTTATAAAATCGTCTGCAGTATTTCTCTCCAGTTTGTTTTGGAATTTTTGTGTTTTTTTAGCTCTGTGCAGCCATGAATGCTAAACGAAAAGAAACTTTGCCTGGAATTCGAAAATTAGTTATTAATTTGCATATTGAACGTGGAAAATCTATTAGAGAAACTACTGAAACAGTTAACTTCAGTCATTCAACAGTTTTCAATATCATTAAACGATATAAAAAGAATCATATGATTCAGGATAAAAGAAGACCTGGCCGACCATCAAAGCTATCCAATGGAATAAATAATAAAGCGAATTATCGTTCGAAATATTTAAAAAAAAAATCCAAGAATGAGTGCTCCTAAAGTTGCTGCTGATTTACAAGCATTATATGGAGTAATTGTTAATTCTGAGACTATTAGAAGAGTAATTCGATCTACTGGATATCACGGTAGAGCAGCCAGGAAAAAATTCTTCGTAAGTGAAAAGAATAGAAAACTCAGACTGGCTTTCGCAAAATCCAACATAAATAAGAATTCTGATTACTGGAATGAAGTTATATTTGCTGATGAGAGTAAATTTAATATATTTGGTTCTGACGGTAGAATCTTGGTGTGGAGAAAACCCAGGGAAGAATTTCGCAAACAGAACTTGGTGCCAACAGTAAAACATGGTGGAGGAGGAGTTATGGTATGGGGGTATATGTCGTCCGCTGGAGTTGGTAATCTTGTTTTTATTGACAGTATAATGGATCAGTACAAGTATATTGACATTTTAAATCAAAATTTGAAATCTTCAGCACGAAAATTGAACCTTCATAACGATTTTAAATTCTACCAGGACAATGACCCCAAGCACAGTGCTTTGAACGTTAGACTCTGGCTGCTGTATAACTGTCCTGAAATAATAAAAACACCACCACAATCTCCAACTTAAATCCCATAGAGAATATTTGGCAAGAATTGGAATCAAGAATTCGCAAACACACCATTTCTTCAAAACAACAATTAAAATCGGTGCTTCAAGAAGAATGGGGTAAAATCACTCCAGAAATCACAAAAAAAATTAGTCGAATCCATCCCAAGAAGATTAAATCATGTTTTAAAAGTAAAAGGAAATCCAACAAAATGTTAAAATCTTTTAAAAAGTAAAATTTTTGGATAAATATTTGATGGAAAAGTAAGTGTCCCATCACTTAAGTGAGCCATTTTCTGCTCCGTTCTAAACAATTGTATTTTTTTTATTAAATTAATATTTTAATATTTTGAGAAAATGTATGTTATGTAATAATTGTTACTAAATTTAAGTATGAAACACACCCACAAAAATTTTACATGTTTTTTAAATTTATTATTGCAGTTTCCTTGTAAAGCACAGTGTCCCATCTTTTTGAGAATGTACTATTTATGGAATGACTGAGAGTATATGGTAAGGAAAATCTTTAGTTTTGTGCTGTTGACAGTCACGGTAAAGAGTGCAAGATTGCTCCTGTTATCATTAGTTCTGAATTGAATTGCTATTCAAGAATTATTTTATTTAAAATCGTATTTTGTACTTACATGTAAAGAAGTTGTTTAAAGTTAAAATTAAAGTTAGACACATTTAATATATAATTAACTCTTAATTTAGAATGAAGAACCAAACGTTTCGTGACTGGTGCAATGTTTTTTAAATGAAGGATTTAATACTGATATTAAATGATAAAGGAATAAGTAACTCAATACAAATAAAACAATAAGATAAATAAAATTTTCAGTAAAAGACAAAAGCAATAATTTTCTAATTCATTTTAATTTTGAATAAAAGCCTAAAGATTATTCTCCATGAATAAAATTTTAATTAATACCCGAATGCATTCATTTACAATTCATTTTAATTTTGAATAAAGCATAAACTTATATGTATGATCAATGAAAAATTTTTGAAATACGCAATAATAATAAGAGGATTAAATATAACAAAACATAAGAATTAATATAAAAAAATTAAATGAAATTAAAGAATGATAATATTAGGAAAAGAAATAAAAAATAAAGTATAATAAAATAACAATAATAAGCAAACATAAAGCATAAAAATGTGAATAAATATAAAAGTTTAATAATAAAAAGGATTAAATATAACAAAAAAATAAGAATTAAACATGAAATAATAAAAATTATATTTAAAGTATAAGAAAAGGAATAAAAAAATAAAAATCTAGTATAATAATATAACAATAATAAACAATTACAAACATAAAAATGTGGAAAAAATAAAAAATAGTCATAAAATAATTCAGTCATTCAGTTCGTGCCAGATGACAAGTTGATGAATGAAAGCTAAACAGCTTGTCTTACAAATTTTCACATTTTAGGTCTTTTTGGCCTAATCCTGCAGCCAAATGTTTGCCTACCAAAACCCAGAGGGAAATTAGAATGAGCAAGTAGACAGATTCATCCTATAATAAGGTGGATTCTTATTCCAAATGTGACTCAGTCCAGATATGTTTGATGATAGCATTATAAACGAGAAAACAAATGACACTCCTTAAGGCTTCAACTTTCTGACGCTGAGATAGATGACATAATTCTTCCTGTTCAACATTGTTTGCTCCAACCAGTTGTTTGAGTGTTGTTTTCTGTTTCATCTGAGAGGAAGAATATAATAACGCATATAAATACATACACCAAGAAATTGAACACCGCTGTTGGAAGGACAAAATAGGAAAGTTTTATTGGAAAAACGAAGAACATTTTTATAAATATCTCAAACTCAAAATGAAAATAAATGTAGCTTCACGAATGTTTAAAATTTTTTTATTTGTGCTGCGATGCGCGCTAGACTATCTGAAACTATCTACGCAGTTGCAAAGCGTTACCATGGTTATCAGTTTTTGCGTTACCATGGTTATTGTTAAAAAATAAAAGAAAAATGGCTGTTCTGAAGATCTGAAGTTATATTTTAATTGTTTATTAGAAAAGCTGATTTCCTTTTATTATTGGTCAAATGTAATTTCTAAAATAATTTGTCAGAATTCGGGCAAAAAATGATAAAAAAATAAACAAAAAAATGTTTCTTGTTAACCAAAGAAGGATACTTATATTCATATAGGTAACTCAAATAATTTGTTTTACAGTTAGATCTTTACGGAACCACTTTTCCTAAAGCACACGTATGCATATACATGCACGCATATAAAGGGAGTGCTTTCGAGATGATGCAAGTACAAACAATGTATGCCTTTTCCCCCATAATTTAAAAAAATATATATCCTTTAAACTAGGCTTTCTTTTTTGGGGGGACGGTTGGGTTAAGGCACAAGTTTTAAATGTGTAATACATACATTATCATTTAATATGTGATAAAGATATGTGCATGAAATATGTTTTCAAACTCAGCAAACAGAAGTCATTGATGCAAATTGCACCATTTCTGATTCGGTGACTTTGTTGGTCGACAGTTCTTCGAAAGGCTTAATATTTTGGCCCTACCGAGAATTTATATTGATACGGATTGTTATTGATACGGATATGTTATTGATACGGATATGTTTGTATTTAAGAAAAGTATCGGATGTCTTTGTATTTAAAACTTACTTAGACACTTAAGAAAACTTTACTAAGCGTAAAATATCGCAATTATTGAATTAATCCTTATTTTTATTACCGAAATTAATTGATCCTTCGGAATTATACCATTGATGAAAAATGGATTCGATTTCAAAGGGGTTGGAGTGTATTAAAATAATTATACATATTAATGCAGAGGCAGTTACACGATTTTGTGACGCATCAGAATTTGCATGGGCAGCATTTCAGGCTAAGAACTTGTAAGCGAGATCAAATACTAGTTTAGTTGCGAAGAATACGGTTTTTTCACTTAAGCCTTTATGTGTTCCTTAATAACAAATGAGTGCAACACATTTACTGTCAAAGCTTGTTAGCTGAATGCTTTCGTGATGATGTGGATGATCAGGAAGCGCATTTTGTTACTTATCTGCAGCTTTTTAATATCAAAATTTTATCTGTATGCCTTTTGAAAAGGGCAACTATATGTATACTTTTATCAAAAATACTTAAATCTCATGTTTGCCAGGTGTTCTGTGTAATTTTAAAGTATTAAATCTTTATAAAAAAAGTTATTGCTTATGGGTTCTCTTTAGATTCAATTCACACAGAATCGATGATAGCTTGATAAAATTTGCTTTCACAAAACAAACACGTAACAATTCTGGAACTTTCCACAAAAGTATTCGTATAGCTCTTCTCAGTAGGAGAGAGCACAATCAGTATTTACCACTTCAAACTGATAAACACAACGCAATGTGAAGGTCATCAAATGAGCGAAGCTCGCAATAATCTCACAACTCTGAGCTAAGAACTGAGAAACTGATGTTTTGTTCGATATCATATAATATATACAGTAGATTCTCCCCGGCCGGGCGGAGAAGCCTCTAGTATCTTTCACTGCTCGAAATTACTGGAAGGCATATACGGTTAGGCCCATATCACACGGCGTTTGTTTCACACGAACAACTGTTTCGGGCAATTTTTCTGCCTCGTTTGCTATTGAAAGAAAGACGTGCGACTTTTTCCTTCCTTTCCAAAAAAATTTGCAAGTTGTTTGTTTTCACCCAATCAGCTATCAGTTTCGAATGCTATCAGCTTGTTTGTAGTGGGGAACCAGTTTTCCCTGTGTTAACCCCAAAGCGATCTATGGTGATTGGCTGTTGTGACAAAGCAGAAAAATTGTTCCTAACAGTTGTTCTTCCGAAACAAACCGACGTATGATAGCAGCTTATTAAAGATAAGTATAAGGGCTGGACATGATTAAGTTACTGTAGCGATCTCAACGGACTATATTTCTTGAAAGGCGCGCGACTCGGATAGAGACAAAGGAGAACAGGTGGTGACGTGTCTCGAGGCGAGGAGAAATCAGACCAGGGTCGCCGGAGTACACTGGAACTCCGGACTTTATGACTCCGGACTGTGAGTACACTCCTGTACATTCCTGTACACACAGGAGCTACACTCCTGTGAGTTTCGATTTAAAAATGCTGTAAATACCTGCACAGTTTAAGGAACTTGTGTAAAATAAATTCTAATTTGAATGTGGATAAGTTGTATCTTACTTTATAAGGTTTTATAAGGCATTCTAATATATATTTAGTAGAAACACCCCTAAATTGATGACTCGGTGTCGCAGCACGCACATGGACTGAAAATTGGGAATCTTATTCCATCGACGAAGCACGAAACTTGAGTGAACTTTACCTCAGCGGAACTTACAGCTAGTTATTTTCTCTTCCGAAATATTCAATTTATTTGGTAAAATGGCAAATAACGACACAGATCAAGCCACGGGAAATACAGGTGACGGAGGACGGGGACGCCTGGTGTTTAACAGAAGTAAACAGGTATATGTCTCGCGGCCTACCCTATCTAGCGGCAACAACTCCATGGAGCCGCACGAGGCCACCTCGGGAGTTTATTGAAGAATTTTACGTAATTGTGCGTGGCCATATAGGGGCGTCTTAAGAATACATTAGTTTTGATCGATAGGCGAATGATTTGTTACATCTTGGTTTGTTAAACATAAATTACAGCACATACAAACTCATACACTTATAGTTGCACATATAAAGACACATACAAAACACGTGTAAAACACATATAAGAGCACATATAAAACATGTAAACACATTATAGAATAATAGAAATTAGATGTTAGTTCGCACACACTTATACAAATAAAACGTATACTTATAATGAAACATAATTAAAGTAATATATATTATTATACACTTACACATTTAAAGACACATATAGATCACATGTAAAATGCGCATATAAAACATACATAAAACATGCAGACACACTGTAGAATATTAGTAGATTGCTTGCACTTGTACAAGCAATGTACACAATGCTTATATACTTTGAGTAGTTACGCAGTGCTTATATTAGATACACGATGCTTGTAGATAGCTACACAGTGCGAAATCATATAGGTACACAGTACGAATAGATACACAATGCGAGATCAGATAGACTATGCTTGTAGAGTATTAGTTATTAGATTGCACACAATTACATAGACAGAATAAAACACTGTACAACAAAATAACACACAGTTTTTACACGCAGCACCATGCCACGTGAAATACAGCACATGTAGCGGTGAAAGCTTCTCCCTTCTGGCGAGCAAATCCGGAAGAAAGCCAGTTCGCGTTGGCCGGTGTAACAGCGGAATGGCACGAAATTTCACCACGTAGTTTCCGCTTTACAACCTGAAGAGTTAGCGGTTGTCGGAGACATTATTCTTAACTCTCTAGCCGAGGCTCCATATACGGCGATCAAAAACTGTCTGTGTACGCAATATGCAGATACGGAAGAACAGCGCTCAGATACCTCATTTCCGGAATGCAGCTTGGCGACAATAAGCTGTCACGCCTCTTACTGGTGATGCGAAGTAAGGGTGGCTCACGAATGAGTGACGATTTTCTTAAATCGCTTTTCCTGCAACGACTGCCGACGCATGCACAACAGATTTTAGTCATTTCCAGTGACAAGTTAGACAAGCTAGCCGAGATGGCCGATGATATCATGGAAGCCACCGGAAACAGTGCTTCAGTGTTTGAAGTAAAAACTGTGACTGTGCGCTAAAGAATTATTAATGGATATTTCATGTCGCCTTTCTCGGATTGAAACACGTTCCAGATCTCATTCAACCGAACGAGAGCAGCAGAACAAAAGAGGCCGTTCATCAAGCCGTCAACAACGAGGTAACACAGAGCATTGCTGGTACCATCAGCGTTTCAAAGAAAAAGCTACCATGTGCACAAAACCTTATACCTTCCACTAGGGGAAAACTAGTGCCGCCATCACTCGACTCTTTGGGTGACGGCAAAACCGAGATTTATCGTTTATACCCCTTAGATAAATCCACAGCGTCAAAGTATCTGATTGATACGGGAGCAGATATCTCGGTAGTTCCGCCCACAATTACGAAGCGCAATCAGCCACCCGCCAAGCGTCAACCTTTTGCTGCAAATGGCACTACAATACCTACTTTTGGCTAAAAACTCATTAAATTGGACTTATCTTTATAACAGAGCAATAATTTTCTAACTAAACTCCCTGCAGTTCTGATGCGCACTTATCGATGAAATCTGAACCCAGCATCTGGACATTAATCTGCCATTGATCTGAAATGTAATTCGGTATAAAAGATAACTGCGTCACAACTCCCCCTCTCTTTTCTTCTGCTTCGACTTTCCAATAGGCTTCGTGGCCTTGCCGCTAGCAACGCAGCTTCTTTCCTAATTTCGTACATTTCGTAGTACTTTTCTAATTTCGTACACTGTTTAGGAAGATGTAAGCTGTATAAAATTGCGGGGTGCATAGCGCATCCACAGAGATGATGTGCATTATCAAGAAATAAAATTATGTTTCCAAAATTAGCGGCTTCGAGTGTCGTCATACTAACTACGCAGTAAAGCCTCTCCAAGCTATTACAATGCGGAGAACCATTGTCATTCCGTTGCAACTTTCTTTTACCATGCCATGTTATTACATATGCTTATATATATATATATATATATATATAATTAATTAAAAAAATATTGACCACATTATCTCCCAAGAT